TTCCAATGTTGTTAATTCTCTCATTTTCCAGTTGTACTACGAATTATGCTGCACTACGTCTATCTGCAAAAGGAAGTAAAAAATCTTAATTAATAAATTCCTCGTGATAGTCGTTTCAGGCCAAGTGATTTATTTCTGTTAGAAGTTAAATGGCGATTGAGAGGCGCTTCTCGAGTGCAAAGGGTTAACTATACGCGCACTCTTTTCACTTTCAATTAGATTGTTATCATAGGTCCTTTGTCTACGCCGATGCTATATCATATTATTTCACTTGACATTAATGTATCTCGTTCATTCTATTTGTCATTTAATCTGATGTGATCGTACTTTTAAATAAGACACTTGTCTATATAACGCGGTACGAGTTATTCGTATTATAGGAGACTCGACTGTATATTAAATAAGACACTTGTCTATATAACGCGGTACGAGTTATTCGTATTATAGGAGACTCGACTGTGTATTCGAGTATAGGAATTTTACGGATATCTCATGCCAATTTTAACGTATAACGTTACCGAACCCGAAGGTAGTAGTTTCGGTAGTGTCATAGAAGAATGGGGACTACGTGTGAGCATGTAGGCGGAGCGAGTGGAATACACCCCTTGCCCCTGTGCCGAAACAGTGGACTCCTTGTCAGCCACGCACAGTACACGCATCACACAAAAGACTTTAATATGCGCTGCAGTAACAGGAACGAAGTTTCGGTATTAGTATACACAAAGTTGCGTGAGAACAATTTGCAACAGTGTGTAAACTAACTATTCCACTATAATTATTTGTCGCTGCACGTTTTGTAAACATGTACGCTTTCAACGCCCTAGCGATTTACGTATCATAAACCTTAAGGCGCGACGCAGCGATTAATGACCCTGGTAGCAGTGAGAACACCTGGGGTCTATCCCTTGTGTGCCTTCCTGTAGCAGACAATGCTTGCAAAATGACTATTCATAATGGTATCACGGCAAATGATTCGCTAACCACTGTGCAACATTGTCGAATAATTTTAATATTAAAATATTTAATAATTTAGTTAATAATGCATATTATTGCAGTTGAAGGAAAAATAAAAAGGATTTAGTGTCTTCTTTTAAAAAATGTAGTATCTTTTAACGTCTTCATCTCAGAATCGATATATTAGGTTCGCGGATTTTGCAAGGAAAAATATTTTATGTTTCAATTTTTCGTATAATTTAATAATAAAATTGCCAACCCACGATGAACATGCTTTGTTCTTCGATTGTGGATATTGTTATTCGATCTACTTTATCACTGGAACGTTTGTTTTGTGGATAGAAATGGAAACCAATTTCTTGTACGTTTTTCAACAGTTAACAAATTAATATATTTATATAATAATATTTAAATATTGACATCAATTTGCAATATATTTTTAATAAAAAGATTCACACTATCTAGAAGATTCTTCTCTATCTCTCGCTCTCTTTCACTCTTATTAACACATATTTGCTATTTGAAAATTCTCACATAACTGTTTCATTCTGGCATATTCTTCTAAATATTTTTTGACAACATTCATACTAGATTCCACTCGCACATATTATATTTATATCATCTCAAATGATTTTCATTTATTCTACCTCATTACCATTCACACGTATAAAGCATACAGTCATATTCTCATGAAACCAATACTTATATGTTTGTCTATATAACTTACCTCGATGTACGATGTATAGTTTACCCATTTGCATCCAAGCGCGGAATATTCCGCGAGCCACGACTGTCGTTTATCACCGAGCGCGGAATGATCCGCGCGCCACGGCTGTCGCCTATCACCGAGCGCGGAATAATCCGCGAGCCACGACTGTCGCCTATCACCGAGCGCGGAATAATCCGCGAGCTGACCTTTTTTCACTACAAATTACTGAATATTCTTCATATGGAACAGATCATGTTTGATTTGATTTTGTGAGCATCTCACCTACATCAGATCATTATATTCTTAACAAGTTTTACTTTTGTTGTGAAAATCTTTTTAACTGCCACTATGAGTAAGTGCTGATACGGGCCAGTCGTCAGTTGAACGTCACTGATGCCTGAATACGGTACCTTAAGTAGAGCCACGATGCAAATGGGTTAATAATGTTATATATGAATAATAATAATTGAAACAATACGATGATGAATAAAAATCAACATTAAATTTTTGAAAAGTTATTAGACGTTTCCAATAATTTCAATGAATCCTTTTTACTTGTTCGGTAATTTTAATGTTAGGTATTATATGTAATTCGGCTTTATTATTATAATATATTTATAAAACAATTTTTAATAATGGAAAATATGTTTACTAAACAAAAATATGTGTGTTTTCCCGACTTTTATCTTCGATATCATTATTTATGACATAGTATTAATTCGCATATTTTAAAAAGAGTAAAGAAATACGTAGAGAAAGTTTTCTTTGTCATACATGTTAAAAAAATGTTTAACGAGCTTTCTATTTTTATAAGGTATCTTTAAACATGTATATTTTTTCGCATTGCATAAAATTTAACTATTTTTACAGAAGTAAAAATATAGAAATGTTATTTTGTATATAAAATGTTAGTTTTGTATAAAAATTGTATATAAATGTTATTTTGCATATAAAATGTTAGTTTTGTATATGAAAATAAAAATGTTTGTGTAGGAAAAAATTGTTTTGCCACAGATTACGTATACTTTAATTGAAAAAGAAAATAATTTTTGTCTTCTCTACGCGAACTACGTATGTTGTACAACAAAATAAATAAATGAGAAGATTTTTTACTACAATTTGATACGAATGTAAAATAGTGACGAAAAATTAATTATTTACAGTTAAGTTAAACTTAAAAGTTCAAACCTTGCGTTATGTCGAAAGTATTTATTTCTCAAGATTACTGCAAAATTAAAATTATTTCTTATCCTGCAATGTATTATCAAGCGATATATTTTGAGGAGAAAAATATGATTCTATTTTATTTGGAAAATGATCGAAAAATTGCAAAGAGTATAACCAAGTAAAAAATATCTTAAAACATTTTAATTGAAAAATTTGTTGATTCCTTATAAACATTTGAAATGGAACTTCTTTTTAAGAAATTTCTTTTCTTTAAAATATTCAAATTTCTTTATTTTTTCAGATTATTCAGACACTACAGTTTTAATATTTTTGTAAAATGAAATATATCCATACTTGAAGCTAATTAATTGAATGCCTCTGAAAACTTATTGAATATATGTACACTTAGAATTGTAAATATTTTTATTTTCGATATCGTGAATATCAAAAATATACAAAACGTTTATTTAAAAAAAGAGATATTGTTTCGATGAAAAAATTGTAACACAATATAACCTGAAACGATTGCTGTAAATAGTAAATGCAATATAATGTCACCTAATCCTTGTACAGTATTATTTTTCTACAGCTGCAATTCAAGATATGTAAAAGTTCAAACATTACTTCATATTTTCTCTGTTAAAAGATTTAAATTGATATATTACAAAATATAATCCGAAATAAATCAGAACTAATTTCATCTAAAGTCTCTGGTTAATACTAATTTTAGTTAGTTAATTGTAGAATTAATTGTAGAATTAATTCATCTAATCAGTACCAGTATTGCTTAATAATCCTCCAATTACTAATAATTTTGTCTCATTTGAAATAGTATTCATCGGTTAATTTATTATTTCATGCAGTAGTGTTACATTAAAGTGAGTAGCATACTCTCACTGTCCTCACTAACCACGTAATTTTAGTAATTTAGGTTTACTTCGATATTAATTACGTAGTAATTTAGTTTTCATTAATTAGTAATAATCAGATTGTACAAATACTAAGCAAATATATTCGATATTTTACTTGCAGCTTGACACATGCATATAGAATTTCTAATTGTCAATTGTTCTTTTCACAAAGATGTCCCTTCGAAATGCGATCCTTATGGCAACGATTGTAACACTTTGTCCTGTGAGAACTAGTTTGACCTAACAGCATTCTGTCAATTATAGAATTAACTAGTTAAAACTAGTATTGGCAAAGCGCTCCAATTTGTCTAGTCAACGTTGGTAGTGTTAAGTTCAACTTTTAACTGCTTCATATACATATAACGATAAATGATGTAATACATAATATATAATAAATAATAATGATATAGAATATAAAATAT